AGGAAATTGCTCTGTCTATCCCAACTGTAAATATATCTTTAAGTACAAATTGAATTTCAATATTCTGAGAACTGATCCTTTAGGGGTTCTACGTGTTATGTTTTTGGTAAAATCGCGATGAGATTCAGTGTTTTTATTTATTTACTCAAAATTCATTAAATAAGATAGAGGTGTTGAGGTGCCAAAMGCGTTGATCTGTTCTGACGAGTAAGTCTTSAGTGACGAGTCACCACAGCTACTTCCTGTAATGGTCGCGAAACGCAATCAATCGTTAGCTTGTCAAGTAGATGGACAGATATCTTTTAGCAAAGATAAAGTAGTCCAACCGTTTAGTAATGGTTTGTGTTGAATTTTACAATGTATATAAATAGACTTGCTTTAAACAATCTAATTTGCGACTCGTTTTTCGACTTAACAAGTCGAGACACGCTAGCTTRTTGATCTATTGACATAGGAATAAAACAGATCACCGTTAGTRAGTTAAGTTAAATGAACATAGCGCAACTTAAACAAATGTTAGTCAACTACTGCACTCTACACTTGTACGACATGTTTTCTGTATTGTCGGGGAGTCAATGTCTGTATCAAAAGGGTTGTGAGATTGTATTTATTACTTACAATAAAACCCTACTTTATCTATTCAATTAAACAGATAACACGTTTTAGTTGTTTCTATTGTTATTACTCTTTTTTGTCTTTGTTAACAAAAGTTTACTATAGAWGTGAAAACCGCTTGAGATGCCGTATCATATTTGACAAAGGAAGTTATTGTTTTAAGTAAGTGCGAAGTTTAAAAGGCTTTTGACTAATAGCGGTCGCCAACGCTGATTTGCCGAGCACCCAAATGTTGAGTCAACACAACAGAATCCCTTTGAAAACATTTCGCGCCATTTTGACAAGTTGGTTGGCGCGTGCTCCGCCCCCAGTTATCATCCTCACAAGTTCACTGATGGGATTAAATTGATTCTTCAGCCAATCACAAAGTGAGATAGTGATTTCCTTAGGTCAAACTCGGCATTCTCCAGCACCAGTTATAACTGACTTAGTACTTTGAAGTTCAAGCTCCAACACGTTCTGATGAACTCTGCGCTCATCTTACCATAACATGGAGACTTACGATAATATTTCGCCAGTGAAAACCGATGCAAATACATTTACGTTCACAGCGGAACAAGTTGCATGTGTCTGTGATGTTTTACGACAGACAGGAGATGTAGAACGACTCAGTCAATTTTTGTGGTCCCTCCCACCGAATGAGCTTCTCAATGGAGGTCCCAGTGTGCTGAAGGCCAGAGCATTTGTGTCCTACCATCGTGGACATTTTCGCGAGGTATACTCAATTTTGGAGGGGCATGAATTTGACCCCAGCTCCCACGAGATGCTTCAGGCGCTATGGTACAGGGCACATTACAGCGAAGCCGAGAAAATACGCGGTCGCTGTCTCGGCGCTGTAGACAAGTATCGAATCAGAAGAAAATTTCCTCTGCCTCGCACGATTTGGGACGGRGAAGAGACAGTCTACTGCTTCAAAGAGAAATCAAGACAAATGCTTAAACAATACTACAAGTTAAACAGGTATCCAACGCCACAAGAGAAGAGAGAAATCGCTAAACAGACGAGTTTGACTCTGAAACAAGTCAGTAATTGGTTCAAAAACCGAAGACAACGTGARAGAATGCCGTCAAAGAGGTAAATACGTGTYTTTTCTATGTTATCTCGCAGTGTTTCCTGTATCCCATGTCCTTATTCAACAAGTTAGCATAATCAAAGTGATGCTTTGTTCCAGAGTTTATATCACACTCGAGTGGTTTGTCTTTTCTGTCTTAGTGTTTACGTTATCTTACAATTCGTATAGATTTCCGTTGCCAAATAAKTTTGAAAGGGCTCATTAAATCAGGCAGTCAGTCCTTTGTGTATTTAATTGAGCTGTTTAGTCAGTGTAACTATTAAACTACTAGACACCGCTGCATATTATACTTGTGTAAATTACTTACTTCTTTGATGTGACAAAACAGTTATTTGCMGTGTGGTGTAAAGCGAGAATTATTACCTAATAAACTAAAAGATATAATTTTTTTTCAACAGCGGTGATAGTTCCATTCGTAAAAGTCTCGATTCTTTAGATTCTCCTCCATCGCTGAATGGGACAATCGACAGTACCACTAATGATGTAGACATTTGCAGTTCTCTGGTGAAAACTGAAGACAACCTACTCGCTGCATCTCTAGCCCGAGTCGTACCTTTGATGTGTGCTTCTGAGATTGCTGTGTCAAGTAGCGACGACATTGAGATGAATCATTCCTCGCACATAAAGAAAGAGTTGATGTCGTAGTACTAGCAAAATGCCTTGTTTTAACAGAGTTTGACGCAGTTTTGCCAAAACGCTTGGCACCAGGAGGAATACGGTTTCACGAAAAAGGTCAACAACATGCTAACTGTTTTGCAAATGATACTTTATTGAACAGAACAAAAGCCATTTAAATGTCATTTACATAAACGTGACGGCAAACCTTAAACTTACACAGAAAAGCCAATTGAATGTCAACTGAAACTGACGGTGCCTTTAGAATGTTGTTTCAGTTAATCGATTTCATGTTTCTTGATTATAACAGTTGATTTTCGGATCAATGCAAATATGACCTTTTATGCTGTTTTATGTGTTCTGTGTAGGATACCGGAAAAGCTGAAATTTGAGAAGTTTTGGTCATTTCCTTGAAATGGAAATCGATCGGTACTGCCAGAAACMTGATACGTTTTACAACAATAATTTCTCCCTTGTAGGAGAGGGGTGATTTAATGCGAATAATTTAAAAATTACCATGGGAACACATCAATTGTAAAAAGAATTTTTATACATACTTTTTTCAAACAAAAATAAAAATGTTATTTTAAAAAGTCTTTATCTATTTTAACTTGTTTATGGAACCTCTGAACTATTTTAAGAAATGATCCGTGTTATCCGTAAATAAACAGGACGCCCTTCGAAAACACACGCACAAAATTATATAACATAGCTAGAATATCATATAGCCTATTGTACATGGAGCATCCTGGAAATGTTCGGCACAAGACTGGGATGTTATGAGGAGAAAATGAAAATCTCCTATTTGCACCGCTAGTGTTCGACTGCTTTAATATTTATCTGTCAATTGAAACACTGGGATTTAACATTGTTTTAACAGTGATAAATCCACAAGAAGACTGGGGAATTAACTTACTAATTCAAAGGAAATCATCTGTTTATCCACCTTTTTATTTTTGTCTCTAAAAAAGCCAAGAAATGTCGAGACTTCAACGTTGTTGAAATGTTAATTGCCCCGGTGTTACCCCGGAATCGATTGGGGGGGGGGGGGGGGACCATGACCGATGCATTAGCACGGTCAAAAAAATGATGATTTTATTATCTTGTTTCTTTTATTTTCTACCAATTGCGATTCAATTACACATGGTAAAATGGGTTTAAAGTGGAAACACTTAAAAGTCAGTAAAATGAAAACTTGCAAGTATGAGTAAAGGAAGTCATACCGTGTTTTATATCTCACATGTGATGTGACTTAATGTAAAGCAAAGTGGCTTATAGAACTGTTAACAATTTGGATTGTTATTCCGGTTTTGCTACATCGAGGGCACTTGATGCTTCCTGTATTTGTTAGAGTACAGGCTTTTATCGCTTGCTGCTTTGCTTCTTGTTTTTCCGTTTTGCTAAATGAAAAGCCACTTGAGCAAAATACAGTATAACCGGGAGCCCCTAACATWTATATCACCCTCGTTCCCAGGCCCGGCGGGATGAGTCTAAGGGATAAGGGGCTTGGGACTATCCAATAATGAAATGAATAAATTATTATAAATCATTTCAATTAATTATATGCATTTGAATGCAAGCCCCGGGAGGGGAGGTATAAATAATCATTCGAATAAAAGTCTGTCTGTCCGGCTGTTGTTCAATTTTCGCGAAATTAAATGCACTKATTTTATCCTTATTTTTGAAAATCGCGAAAATCAATGCTCGCGAAAATGATATTTGTTTCGAATTTGCGAAATTGAGTGTTTGCGAAAATTACTGTACGAATAAGGTAATCTAAATCAAGTACGTTCAGTTGTTTTACTTTTCCTCATCTCTTTCACTTTTTCCACAAAACACAGCAAATACAACAACAAAAGCAAAAAGAAAATTGTTTTCAAAGTTTGCACTTCCAAACTTGTCACATTCGGGAATCCAAAAGCACTGGCTGGCGACTGCTAGACCATGATCACTTACTGCTCCAATGTACACATTAGCTACAACTTTCCAACCATCACCACATAAAGCACACACTTTAGCTCGTATAAGATCAGACAACATTACTCCCAAACGACTYCTGAGACTGTGATCGTAATAATCAAACTGTCCAAGGTATGCTTTCAATATTTCAMCAATCAAAGAGCAAATTTTTACATCTTGAAACTTTTCAATAGCTCTCCAATGTGGGACATTGCTATTGTCAACTTCAATCGCCAAATCATTTCCGAAGTTTGTCTCGGGAATTGTCTCCAGYTAGGTAGGAACTGAGCTCTTTCGAAGGATGTTRTCGTGCGGCCAAGACTGGGTTCGACTTCGGTTGATCCTCGGCCGTCTTTCGCTTAAGTGTCGTAAAATCCTGCGCATACTCATGACGACTCTGTGTGTGTGATCGGTTAGTCCACGTGCTAGCCACTCCCTTAAACGCAAAACACGTTAATTCTGTTCCTTAATTTACTCAGTAGAGAAATAACAATTAAAAAATAATCTAAATCTTAAGAAGCTAACTTTAGGAAGAAATTTGGTCTGGAAATCGGAATATAATCTCGAGAAATTCGTAAACTTACCAAATAAGTAGAGTTTAGTCAAGTTTCAKCGTTCTTCAGCGACGGTTTTCTTCGTTTTTGATTCCCAATCCAATTCGAAATCCCTATTAGTCAAGCTTTGGCCAAAAAACTCACATACGTCAATCGCAAAGTTTTCAAATCAAAAAATACCGAGTAGGTTTCAAGAAATTCTATAAGCCAGTAATGTTTTAGCTTATGTTATACCCCATTTAGTTGACCATGTTTGTTGCCTGACAACAAATAGAATGAATTCAATTCTTTATGAGCTATTTTAAAAACAGACTTTGAGAATTGAAAAATCTTTTTCATATTTAATCATGTCATTGATATCCTTCAAAAAATATTATGGTTATAATGACGCAAGCAAAATTTGACGCATCAGTTTCTCTGATCAATGCGTCTGTTTTGGTAGTTTCAATAAAACCAAAGTTCTCCCAATCGATTCCAAAATCTTATATGTATTTTACAAATCAAAAAAGGAAACAACTTMAGATAGAAGTTTACAGGCTTGCGKAAGAAATGCATTTATTAATCAAACTTCGAATGAGAATTGTGTAATGCAATGAAATATTAATGTCTGTAGGGTCCTGAAGCCCGCAGGTGATAGGAATACTTTGAATTTGATAGGCTAGAGGACAAGTAATTAGCGGCAAACTAAGAAAGTGCTAAAACCCGGTCAAACAAACTAAAGTACGCTGTTAAAGTTTCAAAGAAAGTCTTAGCTATGAGATATAAGGGCCTTTGTCGTACATGACTGCATTGACTTCGGCATAAGCGTKTTTGGCTTTAATCTTTATTACATGTTTTACAAATGAATAGATTATTTACAAATTAAAGAAAATTCTTGCTGTCAAATATGAATCAACTACAAGACAAAAGACATTTTTTATCATAAACCAACAATTGGCGCCAAAATTGWTATGCATTTTAGGAGATGGGCACAGTAACCAAGGAGACTCGTATCAACGATAAAAATTATTCCTAATAAAACTAAATTAACCAATTAAAGTGTAAATAAGGCAGACGCTTTTCAGTCTGARTCCCGGRCATTACAAAATGCARAATTTTTAACCCCGCAGGAACTATGTTTTCATTTTGAGTCTTTTGACGATCAGGGTCTCTTAAATATTATTCTCTGAATTCCCGACGGGTGGTGATATTCAGTGCTATAGTACCTGTTACGTAGTTCCWACACTATCTAACTAAAACGGCTCACACAACGCATACTTAACTTTACTCTCAAGATATAAGTGGAATGCCTATCGTGTAGAAAAAAATGGAAAGCTTTGGACATGATTTTCACGGAAACAGTGGAACTTTAATGCTAGAGCAAAGAGAAAACAGAGTGGAAATGGTTGAGAATATATGTTCTACAATTCTACAGAAAAACCTTGGATATTTAACGTACAATCCTACTGGYTGRCGAGATCTTGCGGTTAAGTTAAGCCAAATAATTCGCAATGAAGTAAATCGAGCTCTCTCTGGTCGGTATAAAATAGTGTCTACAGTTCGCATTGGACCATTACAAGCGCAAGGTTTAAACATTACGACTCGTTGTCGGTGGAGACCAGACACGGACTCGTCAGCGAATTCTGTATTCAAGAACTCTTCTATATTTGCCGTTGCTACGGTATTTTGGGTTTCAAATGAATGATACCGCTCAACACTTCATTTTTTTGTTYGTTCCRATAACCGCAAAAAATACGGCACTTCTCCTCCCATCTGTATTTCAAAATTAACGCGAATATCGTGTTCTCAAGCAAGCTGACACTCATCTTTAATTTATCCGATTCAAGAACGAAAGGATGACATTACGTTTCGTTCAACTTGCGATATGTTCACAATACAATGAAACCCTTCATTGAAAGGTTTCATTCATTCACAAAATGTTTCAATCATTCTCGCCTGGTTGAAGTTTACAAAAAATACAATTCAATATCCGACCATCTAAGCTTGCTATTCGGAACAAACCCGCATAAAATAAACAAACAAGCGTTATTTTAACAAAGAATGTCGCATTTCAATGTTATCTTGAACTATGTCTTTTTAATAAGGTTTTCTTGAATAAATCTGCTCAGATTGAGTTGAACCTGTCTAGGGAGGAACATCTTAGTAAAGCACTGTTTTTYTCAAGAAACGAAGTCGCGGTAAGTGATTTGTTGCAATGTCAGCTTTGAGTTAAAACCTCGCCTTAGGCTGTAGGTGCTRATCGTAACTTCCTCTTTTTGGATGGATGGTGTGAATTTTATCCTCTAATTGGCAGTTCGAACATTGAAAAGCTGAGTAAATTCATACCCTCCTAGCAGTTTTTGTAAWCATAGCAATATCACTTTTTGGTAAACAGTAAAAATGGCGTTTCAGATCCTGTATCCATACATAAACCAAGACGACAACARCGTCACTGATTACTCRGATAACGAAGAAGAAAAGCAACCAATCAAAATGGACAAAGRATTAAAAAATATTAGCAAKMTRCACAACAACCTCCCGCACAAAGACAAGATGTTTCGGCCCGACGCCGTCTCWAGCATTGCCGAAGGCATTCTGCGRGAAGAATTATCAGATTTYAAGTATAATCCGTGGATGTGTCGACAAAAGTCGAAAGAATTGAGTAACAAGATTCGCGACGCAACCAAAGATATGGGCTTTGYCCGGTYCAAAATAGTTTGCACCGTGAGTATCGGGTCGTTAGGTGACCAAGGTCTCTACATGGCAAGTAGATGTTTATGGTTTAGTGTGACTGATGGTTCTGCTACCGCTGTCTTRAGGAATTCCTCTTTGTTTGCTGTGGCCATCGTGTTTGGAGTTTATACAGAATAACCAACGCCAACAATATCTTTTGTGTTTTCTAAGCGTTTTCACTTGTGTTAAGTAGGATAATGTTTTGCAGGCATGACAACGGCTATAATACAGTTGTTAACCTCTTATAAAGAAGCAAATACAAACAGCAATACGTGGATTCAATCTAGTCGTGCTGTATGTACAAGTGTAGGACATACGTAACGCATGCGTAAGACCGAAAATCGCCGATATTTCGTTTAATTGGTAATGAATCAAAAAACTCCCTGTAAAATAAATTTAAAACTCGACTTTCAGTTTCAAAGCTTAGTATTGTTTGTTTTTTAAGATTTGTTTTTGAAACATTACAGAATTCTTTATCCTCTCGCGTCTAAACGTGAGTTCGAACAATTTTAGTGAAGACGCAACTACACGATTACAATTTTTTCATGTGCGACAGAAAAACGCCCTATGTCGTCTCGATTCTGTATGAAATTCTAATTACTGGTCCATATAAGARTGAAATGCTTTTTCCACTGCTGAAACACCAAAGAAAGATTGCAAAACTTTAACAACAACCAACTTGGCAGAACTCGCAAAATTGTGATAATTCTCCCTTACGAATTCAACCATCGTGGGCAACGTAAAATCCACAGCTTTGACTTCTTCGTGCTCAAACTTATCCTTTGGTCCTGCGCTGAAGCGTGAGCCTAGTTGTTCAAATGTCAACCTTCTTGATGGATCAATACGGTGGTCGGAGAGGTCTACAAAACCACATAAACCCCATTCGTGCGTGTCGTACTTGAGGTACACGGTAGAGAGGCAAATCGCTTGGACATCGTCACCTTTCAGCTCTACGCGAAGTTCCTCTTCTAGACCACGCGCAGCCGTCTGAACTAGATCAACGAAGGCTTTTTTTCCTGATTCATCTATTTTCTTGTAGTCTTTGGTAGAAGAACTTTCAACAGCTCCACAAGTAAACTTGCCAGGTGTTGCCATTCCCTCTGCAACACAAAAAAACACAGAATAAACCCTAGACCACGCGCAGCCGTCTGAACTAGATCGACGAAGGCTTTTTTTCCTGATTCATCGAATTTCTCATAGTCTTTTATAGATGAGCACTCTCAACAGCGTTCCACAAGTAAACTTGCCACAGGTTGCCATTTCCTCTGTAACAATAGACAGAATGAACGTTGTTCCGAAGGCCTTAGGACCGTAGCGACAGCCTCATACTAAGTGCTTCAGCGAAAATCGTACACTGACTTACTTACAGTTCACAAAWAGAAATTGCACACTTAAAAAACATTCTTAGATAATTTGTTTCGATTTGAAAGTTCGCGGTAAACCGCAAACATTGCCGCAAAGATGTCTTCTCACTAACCTCTGTTCGCTCGTCGAGCAAAGATGAATTTCGGTGGCGAATCAGCCGTCAAAACAGCCACATGAAGACCAAACGAKGTYCTGAAYGTTTTGTTGATGACACTCTTACAAGGCACAAACTCTGCTCTTTTTGAATCATCAAGKACTTTCATCCATACTTCTCGCATTGCACGATGGTGGCAGTAAGTGGACTGACCAAACTTGAGTAGGATTTCTTGACGTTCCTCTTCATCTTCTCGAGGAGTWACAAGATGTTTTAGGGCAATGGCGGGATTGTCTTCAATCTTTTTATCAATAGCTGCCTACAAGATAGCTCAATATAAATCCATACAACGACGATAGCTCAATATAAATCTATACAACGACGCAAAAATATTCACTAATTTAATCTTTAAATGAACRTCCTTACTTGTCTAAAATGTGCATAATTTTCCTTGTATTTCTGCTCATAAGGCCAATTTTCCTCTCTCGGACAATCGTTGTATTGCTCATTARCAACTTCAACTTCACACACCAAACAATCCGCAGGATACCCCCGTGGGGTTTCRTTTGTCTTMAAGTATCCTTCACTAGACTGAATCAGGAAATACCATCATTAAATAAATCATAATCAACTCGAAATTAAACTTAAAACAGATATAATATACACCTAATTTAAAAAAACACAGTCCGAAAAGGATGTACCAAAGGCCTGGAGCATTATTGACTGACGAATGATAACTAGACAGTGTGTGGGAACTGAAACACTCTGGCTCTTGGCATAAGTATTCGTCTTCCCAGTTTCCCCCTTTGGTTTCGATTATGGTAATGTAACTTTTTTTCATCCGACGTTTTTTCAATGAAGTGTATTACGTTAGTACAGTGAAACCTCGTTATCCGGTTACTTTTGGGTCATCAAAAAGGAGCGGGTAGCCGTTTAAACTGGACAGAAAAGTATAAGGGTTCAATTTTCAGGGATATAATAAAAAACTGGCCGTTATATGGGGTGGCCGTATTAAGCAGTTAAGGCAGGGTACCACTATTCTATCTAACGATTAGAATTGTGATTTGGAGAACTTCTTTTGGAAAGATTTGTGAAAAAGAAAAAAAGAAATATCATAGTCCACTTGTAGAGAGCAGTTTAGGGCGCAAAACCTCAGAAAGTTTCACACAAATAATATATCAGATGCTCCAAATTGTTTCAGAAGCGGATTGACGATTTTACTACAGCAAAGGATGAAGTTCCGGGGTTACTAAATTCGGGGTAAAAGTACCGGGGAAGCTAGTCAGAAATTTTCAAAAAGACCCCTAAAGTCCCAGGAGGTCTCGAAGAAAGGGCGTGGCTGAGACATTGCACAACAAATGTTYAATTAAATCAGTTCCAGTGATGAAAACGCAGAGGAAAATCGATATRGATGATCTTTTCCGACACCCTAAGAGATTGCAGAAAATGCAAATATCCAAAAACTCCAAATTGGCAATTTAAAAGATTCCCAAACACGAAAAGTTTTACCCCTATGAGATCTGACGAGCAGCCCGGCACTTTTACACAAGAGTCTCTCCCCCCCCCCCCTCCACGGGATGAAGGTCACCCAAGTAGGGGCTGAAAAAATCAAAAACCTTGAAGCTGTGATGTCAATCACAAGACAAAGGATTTACAGAAGAGGGTCTGCTGGGTGTGGTTTACCTCATCAACAAGGCTGTCTGCTACAAATATCTTGGTATCATTTAGAAATCCACAGCAGAAGAATTCTGCACTTTCTGCATCAGACTGATATGGGTTGGAATCCACTGAAATTAAAGAGGAAAATAATTAAATAAGATAAGATGAAAATACACTTGGAAATTAAAACTTTGTGTCACCAAAAATAAAAACAAGAAAGAAGGTTTCACATGACTTAAAAAAACCTATGACAGTTATCAATGATGTTTTCTGCAAAACAGTGTTGGTGACTCACTTGAAAAATAGTTATAAATAAGTTCTTGCATGGTGGGCCTTTTTTCTGGATTCTCTTCTCTGCAAGCTTCAATGATTTCTTTAAGTGGACCTCCAAATTCGTCAGGCACATTAACCTTATTTTCTTTCTCATTAAAATTTTTTCTGAGATTTTCAACACTGGCAGTATGGCGACCACGCCAAGGAGCTTCTCCGGTCAGAAGATATGCTATGACTTGACCATATGAGTAGATATCAGCTCTCAGGTAAAATAGTTCATCTGAATAATAGTCGTCATACATCACAAATATATTAAATACAAGTATCCCTGGTCTGAAACTACTGAGAAATAAATCAGTGATATTATATATAATAAATAGTTAAATAATGAACAACAATCCATCTTATTTTGATACTGAAAACAAGTTTGCATTTGTTTTTCTATTCTTATGTAGCTTGAAAGGCATATAGATAAAAAATCCTAATAGCCATGGGTTTCCTGTCTTTTTTTGCAGAGCCAGAAGTGGGAAAAAAGAGTTGCCTTAGGGAGGAGGCTAGGGCTATTCCTGTATTCTCATGACTGATCACAAAAACTGTTTCAAGTCAAGATTGGATGGATAATGCTTTTCTAAACATCGCAGCTCGAAAAACTATACTTTCAGTTGCTTCATTGTTTTTCTCTTTTTTTTCTCTCTCTTTATGTTACTTTTTTTTCACTCTTTCTCCCATTCTTTCTTTCTTTTTTGATTGTTTTGAATATTTAGTATTAGTATTTGCCATTAAATGCATGTCCATTATTAAATAACTCATTATTATTTTTCTTTTATTAGTAATTTACCTTCATCTACATATTCCCAAATTTCTGGTGCAGTCCACTTTACATGGAACAAAGAAACCGTCCCTTCATTTGATGCAATAATTGGACGAGATAATCCAAAGTCTGCTAGTTTTACTCTCATACTCCTGATATCAAGCTGGAAAAATGATTTGCATTATAATTATAATAATTACCATTTGCTCATGCTTGCTCAAATCAGACAGAACACTTACCAATAAATTGTCAGGTTTCAAATCTCTATGACTGACAGGGGGTGTTAAGCTATGCAGATAAAACAGCCCATTTGCCACTTGTCTACCTAAATTCCAGACCAAGCCAATGGGTAGTCCTGAATTTTCTGGAGTTCTTTGACTCTCTACATACTTATATAAATTATTTGAGATGAATTCCATCACAATGAATGGACTTGATGCCTGTAGGTTAAGTTCTGGGATGTCAGTCTCTAGGATATCCATGCCTCTGAATGCTACGATATTATCATGTCGAAAATCTCTAAAAAAAAAGAAGATATATGTGACCTGTGACCAAATGTCAGTAATTTTAGGATTACATAATTAAGCATTTGTTTTGTAGTTTTAACTGTTTTACTGCAAATTTAAGATATGATTTAGTCAAAAGGGCTTATTTTGTTGCTGTCACGATATCTTGGGATTAGAATGTGAGTCATGCAATACTCATGTGATGTATTTTCCTGTCACATCAACAAGCAGATAATAATCTTTTTTGATAATGTTGGACTTAGTTTAACATTGTCAAGTTGTCACTTAAGGGCACGTATTCTTAGGTCTTATAAACTAGAATTAGTTTGTGGCATGTAATACTATTTTAAACTGCTAGGAATTACTAGGAATTCACTTATTTGCTTTAGTCATTTTGTTTCATAGAGTATTTAGGGTTTCTTAGCTACTAATTAGATTTAAGGCAGGGTCTAATTGGGATTTATAGGAATTGCATGACATATTTCCTGTAGGGCTTGCCATATGTTTACATTTCCTGTGCATGTTTTGTAGTTAGTATAAATATAGGGTTAAAATTAGTCTTCCCTTTGAGTTAGTTGGGTGTACTCCCCAGTGAGGGCATAGCTCTCAGAGGATGCCCCACTGGTTATGCTGTATTGTGCTTGTAAGGTTATATGTTAGCTTTACTTCGTTTCTGTGGTTGTATTCAAGAGATTTTAGTTAGTTTGTTATAACTGTCATCTATAATTATTCTTATGTTTTACAGAATGTAACTCATTCCTGTTTTGACAGTTCCGTTTTGAGATACAGTTGTTTAGTATATTGCTTTAGTGCACTTAGTAGTTCTCGCTATGAATCAGATTTAGCTTTCAATTAGCTTTTATGTGCTTACTTTTTCTGATAATGGTCTCTGGGCAACCATTGCCATTACTGCAGTATATTTGTAATTAGTTCTATTGTTAATGTGTTTTTAGGTTTTTGTGTAATAAACATTGTTATAAGACCACTCCTTGCATCCTTAGTCAAATTCGACACTGCTCGTGCAGTCCCGACCCGCAGTGGTCGCGTTGCTGGCGTTCGATTGCCGTCGGTTACATATATATACATTATAGGGCACTATCGTCGTGTACCATTTATAAAACCAAGTACATCATAGGTTTCCGAATACACAAGTGGGACATAACATTTTTTAAGGATTTTGGTTCTCCTCACTTAGTAAAATAAATTGATCTGGGTAAGATTCAACCAGTGAACCCTGAATAAGCCCTATCCGACCACTAACCCTAAACCTAACAGGTATTAAGCCACAAGATGATTTCGCTTGGTTGCACTCCTTTTTTTTCTAGTACTCAAACAATTTCTCATTAATATTGCACTAAATAAGAACAAAGGGTATATTAATGAAAAATCAATGGGATCAACTTGCATACGGAAAATTTGCATTTCAAGCAAAACATCAGGAAAGTTTTTAATCCATAAGTTAATACCTTACTTTATCTAATCAAGTTAAATCCAAGCTTATAACCAAGAAGTTAAAACAATGGTCCTGATGAGTGAGTTCCCCCTACACACTCTCACACAGTCCATATCAATCAATTTAATTTAATCATAGACCCAGCTATTTCATTTCAATCAGTTAGTTGATGCATACTGACCTCAAAAGATTTCCTTCCGTGAATAGAGCCTTTGAATGTTTGAAATTCCTCAGTACTTTTATAGCCACTGTATTCCCTCTAAGCTTGGCTTCAAATACATTGGCAAATCCTCCTTCACCAAGGCGCTTCCACTTTGTTTTTAACAAGTCATCTTGGCCAACTTTGGCTGACTTTAGTTCACTACCTGATGTGCATATCATATAACATTATAAATAATTATAATAGGAGGAGAGAGATGAATGCAAAGAAAATAAAAATACCCCCCTAATTTCTTTCAGTATGCTTGTTGAACAGTACATGGGACAGTCAGATGAAGGAGAGACTTAAGAATACCCCGTCACTAAAAAAAAAAACACTAAAAAAAATCTGTGATGAAATTTTGTATGTGAATAAATAAAGATGAACAATGTGCCTTAAATGCGCCCCTATATCACATTCAACTGAAACACATAATAGCAACAGGAGTAATAATAATATATCTGATAATATTAGACTTATTAACATCATTATCATTTTGCTAGACTACGTATGATGATACCCCCATCACAAGCACCTGCAAGCAATCCTGAGTTTTGGAGTGACTGATCGAGGGAAGGGGAGGGAGGGCAGTAGTTTACAGAACTAACCTTCGTTACTGCAGGCACTTGTAAAAGTCTTGATATTGCTCAAAGCGAAACCAAGAATGCAACGAAGTTCGCGGCATAAGTCAAAGAATTCTTCATTTAAATCTTTTGCAGTCTTGACCGGTTGTTGAGGTTGTTGGCAAGTTGGAATGATGCTCAATGCATTTGCTATTTGCTCCTCGATGATTTCCAGTGATCTGATCTTGTTGTGAACTACTTCATCGTATGTCAGGGAAATGTTGTTATTTGTAGTACTACCCATTTTAACTCAAAGTGAACAAACCGAAGTAGTCACTCAATAGCAGTATTAACCTTTGTCATACTTCCTCGAGAAGAAATGACGTTAATATGCTGAAGGGTATTCCCCCGCCAGAAAAACAGATGTTTCTTACAGCAATTCTGATTGGACAACTAAGAAAACTGACCAATAGAATAACATGTAATAACTGGCACCTGACAGTTTAAGTCATGCAATCACTCATGCATATTTCTTATATGATAGAAGAATCGAGAAACTAAAATTATAGGGAAGGTGCGGATTTTCTTTTGCTCACCAGTGGAAAAAAAAACAACTTGAATTCAATTTCGTTAGTATAACATTCTGTGAAGTTTATTAGTTCATACATTCCAAGAAATAATAACTTGGCCGCGGAACAAACAGTCTTTCTCGCGGCCAAACTGGTCTGGACAAACGCGAAAAAATAAGTTTAAAAGGATTGTTGTGAATGCACAATAAGAATGTAAGGAAAAGTGTCATTTAGGAGGTTTACGCTAAACACGTGTTCAGACCACGTGAGTATTCAGACCAACTAAGCACTCCCTCAAAACTAAAAACAGTGGAGAGTGTTGAGAAGTGTTAAAAGTAAAGCCTAAATGGATGGTATGTTCCTTCTTTTCGACCAGTGTAACCAGGGCCGGTGGTGCAGTGTTTGTTTTAGATGTACGGAAACTATCCTGGAAAATACAGGAACTTCAACCAGCTCAAAGATCCTGTCTCCAATGAATGGCGGCTTGTAGCATCGCCTTGGCTTTTCAAGAACAGATGTAGATGTGTTTGCAAAATCCAATGATCCCAATCATGCAAATGTTGGGACTTTGTAAAACAACAACAGAAAAAATAATTAGAATAATAAAAGTTATTGGTTGGTCGGATGTAAGCTTTTAAGCTTTTAAAAATTGAGGATCTTATAGCTTTATATTTGGTTCGCCTAGACTCTGAGAGTGATCCCCGTCATTGTTTACCAAGTTGGTAAACTCAGGAATCACTGGAGGACGATGCCCTATCTTCTCTTTCACAGCCCTTTGAAGAATCAATGCAAGCAGGTATACAGGCCTCCTTACTAAGACGTACTTGGGAGACTTTCGCACTCCAAGATGCCCCCTTAATTTTTGAATTTTTGCTTGATTCTCAATATATGTTCTCGTCATAATGTGAGTCGAAAGGGAATCCAGGCTCCTTTCAGTCTAGCTGGTACATTTTGATTCGTTTTAATTCCCTTTTTGTTCCTGAATAGCATTCAATACATATTTTACAAAGAATTGTTGTCTAGGTCATCTGCCATGTTGATATGGTAGTGTGTGTTGCAGTAGCGCACTAGGTACTTGTAATATACTAGGAATTATAACGACAGAAAAGCACACGACTCCAGTGTTGTCTTCTCTGCTTTAATGCAAACACACCACCCCATGAGGTTTCCTGATAAGGTCAAGGGGCACAGGTAGCCCAACATATAACAGTACTGTCGCAGTAATGTTTATCAATGCAATGGTAATTCCAGTAAATGTTTATCAGTGCTATGGTACCTGAGTAACTATAAGATTTGATGGTGTTATTTCAGTAATAATATATCAAAGCTTTCAATAAATTCAAGGCAACCTTCAGAACAAGTTGAAAAACTGAGACAAAAGGGGCAGCATGCAGTGATAAATACTGAATTTTATACTTTGCGGTTGTTGCTCAAAGTGTTATCAGTCATATTGCATGCTTACATTACCTGTTAACTAAATTTGTGTGCATAATTAAACATTTGAATGTTTAAATAAATTGAAACAATTTTTTAACAGAGGATGATCAAGAATACATCCCATGCAGTACTTCTGAAAACTTCTGGAAAAGTATTACAGGATTTCATGATAAAAAGGTGAGGAAAAATGTGTTCTCTTGTTTACGACGTGGATAGCGAGTGAAGAGTGAGAGAGAAATAATTTCCTTAGTGACGTAAGGACTGGGCACTATTGTGCAACTCATTTGTGTACTCAGTGTGTTGTTCTGAGGAAGTTAAGGACTGTAGGAGTACTTAATGCAATTAGAATACTTTGTTGTAACCCATAACTCTTGAACTGAAACCATAACTCTTTTTTGGGGAATTGTGGTAAATGCAGTAAAAATTCAACTTTTAAGCATAATTTAGGGTACAAAAAGGTTGGATTGAGTTTATACCCTTTCACATAAGGATATATTATTATATATCAAGTGTAAAAGTTCACTTTTCCTAGTATTCTTATTGGTCGAGAGTATATACCACATGAAAGTCACAAAATTTTACTGTTTCCTGGCAACTGTCCACCAGCAGCGGTCAATAATATGTTGTGGACCATCAATAAGTACAAATTCGCAGAAAAAAACTCTTCAGTGTCGTGAAAATGTCACATTTACGAACGTTGCATTCCAAAATTGTTATGAAACATTTAATTTCGACTACAAATAGTTATAGTATTCATTGTGTTATTACATTGATTGATTTTAGTGACATTTGACTATTTGTNAAAATCCAGTTCTCGTTCACCGAGAAGTTTCCTTTGGATCTGTTCCTTTTTTAGCCCTGCCACAAATCGATCTCGTAAGGCTTCGTCAAAGAAATCGCCAAACTCGCAGTTGATGGTTAATTTCTTTAGTTGGGCCGCGAAATCCGCCACACTTTCGTCATCTTTTCGAAAGCGGTTGTGGAAATTAAATCGCTCGGCGATCACTGAAGGCTTTGGGTTTAAATGATTTCTCAGCTTTTCAACTAGCTCAGCATATTTCATTGAATTCGGTTTTGCCGGTGTCACCAGATTTCTCAATAGGCCGTACGTTTCGGCTCCAATTGCTGTCAGAAGAACTGCCACTTGTTGTTCCTTCTTGACCTGGTTAGCAATCATGTAATTTTCGAGACGTTCCACATAAGAATCGAAACTTTCCTTCGCCTTATCGAACTCGGTAATATTTCCGATAATACTCATAATCCCGTCCTCGTCGCCAGATGTAATATACTAGGAATTATAACGACAGAAAAGCGCACGACTCCAGTGTTGTCTTCTCTGCTTTAATGCAAACACACCACCCCATGAGGTTTCCTGATAAGGTCAAGGGGCACAGGTAGCCCAACATATAACAGTACTGTCGCAGTAATGTTTATCAATGCAATGGTAATTCCAGTAAATGTTTATCAGTGCTATGGTACCTGAGTAACTATAAGATTTGATGGTGTTATTTCAGTAATAATATATCAAAGCTTTCAATAAATTCAAGGCAACCTTCAGAACAAGTTGAAAAACTGAGACAAAAGGGGCAGCATGCAGTGATAAATACTGAATTTTATACTTTGCGGTTGTTGCTCAAAGTGTTATCAGTCATATTGCATGCTTACATTACCTGTTAACTAAATTTGTGTGCATAATTAAACATTTGAATGTTTAAATAAATTGAAACAATTTTTTAACAGAGGATGATCAAGAATACATCCCATGCAGTACTTCTGAAAACTTCTGGAAAAGTATTACAGGATTTCATGATAAAAAGGTGAGGAAAAATGTGTTCTCTTGTTTACGACGTGGATAGCGAGTGAAGAGTGAGAGAGAAATAATTTCCTTAGTGACGTAAGGACTGGGCACTATTGTGCAACTCATTTGTGTACTCAGTGTGTTGTTCTGAGGAAGTTAAGGACTGTAGGAGTACTTAATGCAATTAGAATACTTTGTTGTAACCCATAACTCTTGAACTGAAACCATAACTCTTTTTTGGGGAATTGTGGTAAATGCAGTAAAAATTCAACTTTTAAGCATAATTTAGGGTACAAAAAGGTTGGATTGAGTTTATACCCTTTCACATAAGGATATATTATTATATATCAAGTGTAAAAGTTCACTTTTCCTAGTATTCTTATTGGTCGAGAGTATATACCACATGAAAGTCACAAAATTTTACTGTTTCCTGGCAACTGTCCACCAGCAGCGGTCAATAATATGTTGTGGACCATCAATAAGTACAAATTCGCAGAAAAAAACTCTTCAGTGTCGTGAAAATGTCACATTTACGAACGTTGCATTCCAAAATTGTTATGAAACATTTAATTTCGACTACAAATAGTTATAGTATTCATTGTGTTATTACATTGATTGATTTTAGTGACATTTGACTATTTGTGTATTGCCATTTATTTACTTTTTTTCTCTCTTTGACACTTGATAATAAAGCACTTATTTACTGGTCACCTCTTCAGGAAACAATATGTTTTTGCGGTCCCTCGACCGCTGATGTTTCCCTTCTTCGCTTAGGGATACATCAGCAGTCTTGGGACCACAAAACATACTGTTTCCCTTGGTTCCAGTAAATAAGTGTTAAATGTTTTGCAGGCATAACAACAGCAAACCTCTTATAACTAAGTCAAAACAAATAGCAATACAGTGGATTTAATTGAATCATGCTGTGTTTACAATTGTGGGACAGAACATTGCGTATAGACCAGTGATATTTTATTAATTGGTACTTAAAAACTCAAAACTCCCTTAACTACAGTAAATTTAAAACTCAACTTTCAATTTCAGAGGTTCGTTTGTTTGTTTATACCTCAGTGTTTTTTAAACGGTTTGTTTTCAAAAAAATTACAGAATTCTTTATCCTCTCTCATCTAAATGTGTTCCAGCATGATAGATTTAAGACTGAATTTGTGAGGACAATACCATTTTTTTCATGTTAGACAGAAAATCGCCGTATGTCGTCTTGATTCTGTATGAAGTTATAATTACTGGTCCTTATAAGACTGAAATGCTTTTTCCACTGCTGAAACACCAAAGAAAGATTGCAAAACTTTAACAACAACCAACTTGGCAGAACTCGCAAAATTATGGTAGTTCTCCCTTACAAATTCAACCATCGTGGGCAATGTAAAATCCACAGCTTTAAGTTCCTCATACTCAAACTTATCCTTTGGTCCTGCGCTGAAGCGTGAGCCTAGTTGATCAAATGTCAACCTTCTTGATGGATCAATACGGTGGTCGGAGAGGTTTATAAATCCACATAAACCCCATTCATGTGTGTCATACTCGAGATATACGGTAGACAGGGAAATAGCTTGGACATCGTCGCCTTTTAGTTCTATGCGCAGTTTCTCCTCTAGACCACGCACAGCCGTCTGAACTAGATCAACGAAGGCTTTTTTTCCTGATTCATCTATTTTCTTGTAGTCTTTAGTAGAAGAACTCTCAACAGCTCCACAAGTAAACTTGCCAGGTGTTGCTATTCCTTCTGTAACACAGAATAAACAGAAATTATACAGAGAACCTACTTTTTTCCGAAGGCATTTAAGGATGTAGCAGTAGCGATAAACAACAGCTGTAGTGAAAAACATGTATGCTTACTTTTGCAATTCACATAAGACACAAAAAGGAATTAACTTCACAAACCCTTAAAGTTGATAGATTTGCAAACATTTTTTCCTAGTAATGAATCCGGTACTGACCAAAAGCTTCACAATTTGTTGAAGTTGATCATTTGCAAACTTTTTCTACTAAATTACAAATATCTTTGAAACAACGTTTTGCATATGAAAATTTTTTTAGTATTATTTATATAGTATTACTTACTAATAAATAATTTTGTCAACTTTCCAAATGTATAAATTCCCAAAGAAATTTGCACACTGATCAAAACACATTCATAATTATTCTTTCCATAATTTCCACCTTCTTTAATTTTGTTTTGAAAGTTTGTGGTTATATTAATAATAACCACAAAGGTATTTTCTCACTAACCTCTGTTCGCTCGTCGAGCAAAGATGAATTTCGGTGGRGAYTCAGCCGTCAAAACAGCCACATGAAGACCAAACGAAGTACTGAAAGTTTTGTTGATGACACTCTTACAAGGCACAACCTCTGCTCTTTTTGAATCATCAAGAACTTTCATCCATACTTCTCGCATTGCACGATGGTGGCAGTACGTGGACTGACGAAACTTGAGTAGGATTTCTTGACGTTCTTCTTCATCTTCTCGAGGAGTCACAAGATGTTTTAAGGCAATGGTGGGATTGTCTGCAATCTTTTTATCGAGAGCTGCCTGCAAGATAGTTTATGTAAATCCATGACCTTAAAAATTTGCAAAGACGCAAAAATACTCCCTAATCTATATTCTAAATGTCTGAACTTCCTTACTTGTCTAAAATGTGCATAATATTCCTTGTATTTCTGCTCATAAGGCCAATTCTCCTCTCTGGGACAACCGTTGTATTGCTTATTACCAACTTCAACTTCACACACGAAACAATCCGCAGGATACCCTTGTGGCGTTTCCTTTGTCTTGAAGTATCCTTCACTAGACTGAATCAAGAAATACACCCCTTTAATTTCATGAATCATTATCAACTCGAAATTAAACTAAAAATTAACAGATACAACTAATTTAAAAACACACTCTGTTGAAAGTTTCGATTTCCTTAAGCATTATGGACTGACAACTATAGACATAGTGTGTGGGAACTGAAACACTCTGCTCTTGGCATAAGTATTCGCCTTCCCATTTCACCCTTTGGTCTCAAATAAGGTATGTAACTTTTTTTATTTCATACTTGATTCAGTTTTCTTTGTTATTCATAGTGTTGTATCTCGCTTATTCCACAGCTCATTGTGTATTCAAGTGCATTTATATGGAAGTTTCAAGGATATATCTAGATATTGCACCCATTTGAGGGCAATATCTAATATATTGCCCTTGAATACTAATGTATATTGCACTTGACTACCTAAATAACTACTACGTTCAACTTAGAAATTTTCCGTCTGAAACTTTAAACTTCAAAGAAAGAAAGAAAAATTCAAATGACACCAAGTAGATTCAAACCCACAACCTTAGCTTTGAAAATCCTATACTTAATACGTTATGCTAACTGACTAATCGATGTCAGTTATGGAATAAAACAGTTATTTAACATTGTCCAGTTACTTGGTCTCATGGGACTAACGAGGAAAATGGTTATGCAAATTATTCCTGTTGGGAATATCAATACTGTAAATTTTGTAACCTTTCTAATTGAGGTTTTGGTTTTAATTCATATGAAAACGACTTCTTTTGCCTATTTAAAAATGAAAATATTAAATGCAGTGCTTGGAAAACTTCTCCAAGTATGAAATAAGCCAGTTACATACCTCGAACGTCAGCAATCAGCCTATACATCCCTCGGGCCTACGGCCCTTGGGATGTATAGGCTGATTGCCTCCATTCTCGGTACGGAACTCTTACTTAATCCAATGTTTTTTCAATCAAGTGTATACATGACATTTGATAGGATTTCTGGTTTTGAGGACTTAATTCTTTCAGAAAGTTTTTTGAAAAGGAAAAAAAAGATTATCCTATGGGCAGTTAACGGTTGAAACTCCAAAAGGTATCACACAAATATCAGATGCTCACAAATTATTTCAAAAGCAGATTAACAATTTACATAGGGAGGGTGGGGTGCATGTTACCCAATTAAGGAGGGGGTGAAAAAATCAAAAATGGTTTTAACTTGGTCCTTGAAGCTGTCAGTKACATTTATATGACAAAGGATTTACAGAAGAGGGTCTGCTGGGTGTGATTTACCTCATCAACAAGGCTGTCTGCTACAAACATCTTGGTATCATTTAGAAATCCACAGCAGAAGAATTCTGCACTTTCAGCATCAGACTGATATGGGTTTGAATCCGCTAAATATAACAGGAATTAAAATAAGATGAAAAAATTAGATTACCGGTATATGAAAAGAATAGACTTGGAAATTAAAACTTTGTTTCCCCAAGAAAGCTGCCTAATTATCATTTGCCATAATTCTTGATCCACAAAATAACCAAGGGGAAGAAGTGTTGCATGACATTATAAACACAACCTAAGGTGCCAAAGATTTTTCTGCGAAACAGTGTTGGTTACTCACTTGAAAAATAGTTATAAATAAGTTCTTGCATGGTGGGCCTTTTTTCTGGATTCTCTTCTCTGCAAGCTTCAATGATTTGCTTAAGTGGACCTCCGAATTTCTCGGGCACATTAACCTTGTTTTCTTTCTCAATGAAATTTCTGAGATTTTCAACACTGGCAGTATGATGACCTTGCCAAGGAGATTCTCCAGTCAGAAGATATGCTATGACTTGACCATATGAGTAGATATCAGCTCTCAGAAAAAATACTTCATCTGAATGATATTGGTCATCAAGGACTTCTTCATTCAGTTCATCAGCTATTTGAAATAACAATAAATGTTTTTGATTGTGACTACCTCACATGTACAAAATACAAGTGGCCATGGCCATGGTTATAATCTATTGAAATGACAGGGAAATAAATATAAATAAACAGTTAAATAATGAACAGTTTCAAAATAATCCATAATATTTCACACTGAAATATTGGAGGCACAAATTAAACCTCAGCTTGAAGGGCATATACATCAAAAATCCTGACATATTTTCATACTTTCTCATAAATAATAAAAATATTAAAATATTTTCTAGAACTCATTAATAATTCATGAGCTATTAATCCAATGAGCATCAAACTATTATATATCAGATATATAGAACTGATGTTTTATTAATCAGTTCTATATCAGATATAAAGAACTGATGTTCAAGGTCATCAGCGCTTTATTACAAACCCAACACTAGCAAAGGTCCCAGTTTTAATGTCACATCATAGACCTTTGCTAGGTTTTAAATCAGTTTGAATCAATGTGCAGACATGGCAGTATAGCATAGACTAGCTGTACGCGTGGGATAAAAGTTCTTTCATTTGTGGCAAATGCACATGCTCAGTAGAAGTTTAATATGCATAATCACTGTTTTCACATTTTTAGCTTTTTTCTAAAATGATAACAATTTCTGGATGTTGGAGTTGTAGAAATAGTATAAAAAACTCACAGTCATGCTTTATTGGGGATATAGAAACTCGGCCTTCGGCCTCGTGTCTTTAATTGCTGCGAACGAAGTGAGCAGCGACACTAATCTCGCAGGCCTCTTGGGGTCCCTGTGCCATACATACATACTGAAGGCGAAAGTCGATTTCGTGGGCTAGCGATAGACACTTCGAGCCTACAGTAAACATTACATAATCAGCGGTTATTATCAAATGATGCGCCGTAAACTGCATGGTCTTTCTATTGCTTTTCGATCTCTTGCAACGGCAAGTTCGACAAGTATTTAGCATGTTAAATGCGACTTTATTTATTCGAGGAAGTATTTATCAAGGTGATAATCGTTTTAGCYACATTTCTAGAGGAAGGGAATGTGCTTTTATGAGTCTTTCAGCTTRGTTATCTGCACATTGTGATGATATTTCGACGTGGACGACAAATACGATGGATTGTGTTTTGGCCGAATGAGATCTTTTTAACAGCATTCGAGAAGCGCTCTATGCCTGATGAAGAGACTATTTCTCTGAATTATCTGCRAGGTCGAGTCCTTTGGTCTCCGATGACATAACTTCCATCGCACATTTAGGCAAACCAGCGAAACCAATCGCCCGATGAGGCKCTAGCAAATCAAAACAATCGCCCGAAAATAAATAAAAAATTAAAAAAATACAGTCTGTAATAAAGTGTACCTATACGTTCTAATCTTGTTTCTTTTTGCCATGTATTCTCCCTCCATAAAATCAAATAAACCTAAAACCAATTTGAACAAGCATCACAGAATTTACATATCGCAGCACTTCACTTTCGATAGGAACCGCTAGTTTATCTCCCCATAAAGCACGACTGCGAGTTTTTTAAACAATTTACATAGACCATTCTAGCCTCCTGCACAGTCATCACTAAGAACCATGGGCTTCCTGTCTTTTTTTGGGAGCCAGAAGAGAGAGAAAATAGTTGACTGGGGTTATTTATTTTATATCATCATTATTTTGTATTTGTATGTATAGTTTGAAACATGAGATTGAGTGTTTTATTAGTAATTTAATACCTTCATCTACATATTCCCAGATTTCTGGTGCAGTCCACCTTGCATTATAGAAAGAATCCATCCTTTGATTCAATGCAATAATTGGATGAGATAGTTTTACTCTCATACTCCTGATGTCAAGCTGGCAAAAATAATTTGCATCATTATCAATAACAGCTGCCATATTGTTCATGCTGCAATTACAGAACACTTACCAATAATTTGTCAGGATTCAAATCTCTGTGACTGACACCAGGTTTCAAGCTATGCAGATAAAACAGCCCATTTGCCACTTGTCTACCTAAATTCCAGACCAAGCCAATGGGTAGTCCTGAATTTTCTGGAGTTCTTTGACTCTCTACATACTTATATAAATTATTTGAGATGAATTCCATCACAATGAATGGACTTGATGCCTGTAGGTTAAGTTCTGGGATGTCAGTCTCTAGGATATCCATGCCTCTGAATGCTACGATATTATCATGTCGAAAATCTCTAAAAAAAANAGACTGAATCAGGAAATACCATCATTAAATAAATCATAATCAACTCGAAATTAAACTTAAAACAGATATAATATACACCTAATTTAAAAAAACACAGTCCGAAAAGGATGTACCAAAGGCCTGGAGCATTATTGACTGACGAATGATAACTAGACAGTGTGTGGGAACTGAAACACTCTGCCTTTGGCGTAAGTATTCGTCTTCCCAGTTTCCCCCTTTGGTTTCGATTATGGTAATGTAACTTTTTTTCATCCGACGTTTTTTCAATGAAGTGTATTACGTTAGTACAGTGAAACCTCGTTATCCGGTTACTTTTGGGTCATCAAAAAGGAGCGGGTAGCCGTTTAAACTGGACAGAAAAGTATAAGGGTTCAATTTTCAGGGATATAATAAAAAACTGGCCGTTATATGGGGTGGCCGTATTAAGCAGTTAAGGCAGGGTACCACTATTCTATCTAACGATTAGAATTGTGATTTGGAGAACTTCTTTTGGAAAGATTTGTGAAAAAGAAAAAAAGAAATATCATAGTCCACTTGTAGAGAGCAGTTTAGGGCGCAAAACCTCAGAAAGTTTCACACAAATAATATATCAGATGCTCCAAATTGTTTCAGAAGCGGATTGACGATTTTACTACAGCAAAGGATGAAGTTCCGGGGTTACTAAATTCGGGGTAAAAGTACCGGGGAAGCTAGTCAGAAATTTTCAAAAAGACCCCTAAAGTCCCAGGAGGTCTCGAAGAAAGGGCGTGGCTGAGACATTGCACAACAAATGTTAAATTAAATCAGTTCCAGTGATGAAAACGCAGAGGAAAATCGATATCGATGATCTTTTCCGACACCCTAAGAGATTGCAGAAAATGCAAATATCCAAAAACTCCAAATTGGCAATTTAAAAGATTCCCAAACACGAAAATTTTTACCCCTAAGAGATCTGACAAGCAACCCGATACTTTTACCCAAGAGTCTCCCCCCGCCTCCCTCCCCAGGATGAAGATCACACAAGTAGGGGCTGAAAAAAAAAAAACCTTGAAGCTGTGATGTCAATCACAAGACGTAGGATTTACAGAAGAGGGTCTGCTGGGTGTGGTTTACCTCATCAACAAGGCTGTCTGCTACAAATATCTTGGTATCATTTAGAAATCCACAGCAGAAGAATTCTGCACTTTCTGCATCAGACTGATATGGGTTGGAATCCACTAAAAATTAAGAGAACAATAATAAAATATTAGATAAGATGAAAATAGACTTGGAAATTAAAACTTTGTGTCACCAAAAATTAAAAAATCCCAGAGGAATGAGAAGGTTTCACTGACTTGAAACCTATGTCCTCAATGATCTTTTCTGCTACATTGTTGGTCACTCACTTGAAAAATAGTTATAAACAAGTTCTTGCATGGTGGGCCTGTTTTCTGGTTTCTCTTCTCTGCAAGCGCCAATGATTTCTTTAAGTGGACCTCCAAATTCGTCAGGCACATTAACCTTATTTTCTTTCTCAATGAAATTTTCTCTGAGAGTGGCAACACTGGCAGTATGGCGACCACGCCAAGGAGCTTCTCCGGTCAGAAGATATGCTATGACTTGACCATATGAGTAGATATCAGCTCTCAAGAAAAATAGTTCATCTGAATAATAGTCGTCATCTAGGACTTCTTCATCATTCAGCTCAACAGCTGTAAAATAATCAAAATGTTTTTAGTTGTGGTAGACCTGATCTATTCTCATTGGAGAGAGAGAAACCCAAGCTTGAAGGGCATATAGATAAAAAATCCTGCCATAAAATATTAGAATACTATAGACCATTCTAGCTTCCTCCACAGTTATAACTAAGAGCCATGGGCTTCCTGTCTTTTTTTGGCAGAGCCAGAAGAGGGAGAAAAGAGTTGCTTCAGAGAGGAGGCTAAATCTATTCCTGTATTCTCATGACATAAAAAAAATCACAAAAACTGTTTCAAGTCAAGATTGGGGTTGATAATGATTTCTAAACAACCCAGCTTGAAAAACTATACTTTCAGTTGCTTCATTTTTTTTTCTCTTTTTTTCCCTCTCCTTATGTTACTTTTTTATCTCTTTCTCTCATTCTTTCTTTCTTTTTTTGATTTTTTTGAATATTAGTATTAGTAATTGCCATTAAATGTATGTCCATACTTAACTCAGTAATTTGTTTTATTTTATATTATCATTGTTATTATTTTTCCTTTTATTATAGTAATTTACCTTCATCATCTACATATTCCCACATTTCTGGTGCAGTCCACTTTGCATGGAACAAAGAAACCGTCCCTTCATTTGATGCAATAATTGGGCGAGATAATCCAAAATCTGCTAGTTTTACTCTCATACTTCTGATATCAAGCTGGAAAAATCATTTGCATTATTTATCAATAATTATATGCATATTGCTCATGCTTCAAATCAGAACAGAACACTTACTAATAAATTGTCAGGTTTCAAATCTCTATGACTGACAGGGGGTGTTAAGCTGTGCAGATAAAACAGCCCATTTGCCACTTGTCTCCCTAAATTCCAGACCAAGCCAATGGGTAGTCCGGAATTTTCTGGAGTTCTTTGACTCTCTACATACTTATATAAATTATTCGAGATAAATTCCATCACAATGAATGGACTTGATGCCTTTAGTTCAAATTCTGGAATGTCACTCTCTAGGATATCCATGCCTCTGAATGCTACGATATTGTCATGTCGAAAATCTCTAAAAAAATTTGATATTTAGCATTAGAGAAGCCTGAAAATATAATATTCCATTTTAATCAATAGAATTACAGTGCTGCCATTAAAATCCTATTCCCTTCCTAATATGGAGGACCTGTATACAAAACATCAACAAAGTCTTCAACCTTACCATGGCCAATATTAGAGCAGATTCGTATAACTGAGCAAAAAACTTGGTATTTTCGTGCTGTGACCGTACCATGCCATAGTGGTGATGTATTGTTAAATCTTTATTTTCATTTGGAATCCTAGAAGGCGAGGTTCCTTGACCGTGCCGAGCCGTGCCCGTGTTGTGATCTGTGCTGTTGCACAGTCATACGAAATCCGCTCTATTTAAACAAGTCATACCCCAAGCTAAAATAATAATCTCAGGAGGGGTCCCACTCCCCAACACACACACACACACGCACCAGTTCGATCTGGAACCATTCACATTAAATCAATATATTTAAATGATCATTTGACCCTATTTCATTTCAATCAGTTAGCATGCATACCGACCTCAAAAGATTTCCTTCTGTAAATAGAGCCTTTGACTGTTTGAAATCCTTCAGTACTTTTATAGCCACTGTATTCCCTCTAAGCTTGGCTTCAAATACATTGGAAAATCCTCCTTCACCAAGGCGCTTCCACTTTGTTTTTAACAAGTCATCTTGGCCAACTTTGGCTGACTTTAGTTCACTGCCTGATGTATATCATATTGTAAAATAATGGGAAGAGAGAGATGAATGGAAAGAAAATGAAAACTACACCATACTTTTTTCAGTATGCATGTTGAACAATACATGAGACAGCATCACAAGCACCAAGCACTCCTGTGTTTTGGAGTGAGGAAGGGTTTGGTGTACTAACTCCCCAACTTGGTTGGGGTTGTGCCGCACGACTCTCAAAACCCTTACCCTATCCCAGGAGACCATTGTTTTTTTATTTTACATACCCTACTCCAGACAAAAGGTACAAAGGTACATAATTTTAGCACTCCACCCTATCCCAGACAATGAGACTATACCCTATCCTAGACAAAAACTACCATATCCCAGACAAAAGTACTACCCTAACCCAGACAAATGGGCAAAAAATGATACCCTATCCCAGACTTGGAGCTCCGAAAAAGAGAGCCTATCAAGCGGCACATACCCGTATAGCAAATATAGGGGAGNNNNTTATTTAAGGAATAAAAGACGAAATTCCGTGTTTGATACTCTGATCAAAACACGCGGGATGTAGGGAGAGCACGAGAGAAGCGTAGGAAACCACGACGCGTAGCGGAGTGGTTTCCAGCTTTTCGAGTGCTCTCCCTACATCCCAAGTGTTTTGATCAGAGTATCAAACACGGAATTTCGTCTTTTATTTCTTTTCTAAAATTAAAAGAAAACAAGAAATTTTTGACGTGCGCGAGCGTGTTTTGATACTGTAATCAAACATGGTTTTCGACCAATCACAGCACGCGTAGTATCCTAAATATTTTAGAAATTACAATATTTAACAAGTCATACCCAAGCTAAAATAATAGTACCCCCCTCCCCCCCAGACACATACATGCACCATGGCCAGTTTGATCTGTTGACAATAAGTTGGCATGTAGACATACTGACCTCAAAAGTTTCCCTTCTGTGAATAGAGCCTTCGACTGTTTGAAATCCTCCAGTACTTTTATAGCCACTGTATTCCCTCCAAGCTTGGCTTCAAATACATTGGAACCTCCTTCACCAAGGCGCTTCCACTTTGTTTTTAACAAGTCATCTTGGTCAACTTTGGCTGACTTTAGTTCACTACCTGATGTGTATCAATAACAATTATACCAGGGACATGGGGATATTAATTATGATGAACATGTGCCCCTGCTGGAGCCCCTATATCGCATATTAACATCATTATTATGTGCTAGATTGTGTTATATATGATACATCTATACTATGCATAATTGTGCTGTACCCCCATCACATTAGTACATGCAAGGACGTCTGTGTTTTGGAGTGAGGAAGGGGAGGGGAGATGTATAATTAAAGTAGTTTACACAATTTGATATATCCAGAACGAACCTTCGTTACTGCAGGCACTTTTAAAAGTCTTGATATTGCTCACAGCGAAATCAAGATTACAACGAAGTTCGCGGCATAAGTCAATGAATTCTTCATTAAAAGCTTTTGCAGTATTGATCGGCTGCTGATAAGTTGGAATGATGCTCAATGCATTTGCTATTTGCTCCTCGATGATTTCCAGTGATCTGATCTTGTTGTGAACTACTTCATCGTATGTCAGGGAAATGTGGTTATTTGTAGTACTACCCATTTTTAATTTTACGTGAACAAATCGAAGTAACCTCCTCTAGATGAAATGACGTAATGCTGAAGGGTATTCCCCCGCCAGAAAAACAGATGTTTCTTACAGCAATTCTGATTGGACAACTAAGAAAACTGACCAATAGAATAACGTGTAATACTTGGCACCCTGCAGTTAATATGTTGATCGTGCATATTTCTTGGAAGAATCAAGGAACTTATTAGAAAAGGCACTGCTTTTCTTTTGCTTACCATTGAAAGAAAATTTAATCGATTTCGTTGGTATAGTATTCCTTCATTCCAAAGGTTAATCAATAACTTAGGTCTTTACGCCGGGGGATCAGCAAACAAAGTCTTTCCCGCGGCCAAACTGCTGACAGCGACTATAAGTATCCTGCGGGACAAACGCGAAATACTTTAGCTCATATTAAAGGATTATTGGAATGGCACATGCACAGAAAAGCGATAGTAAGTCATACATACCTAATACTGTTCTTAACCAAGTCCGTTGAACAATAAGAATGTTAGGAAAGGTGTAATACACCTTTTCAGTTGCACTTAGAGGAGAGTCGATAGCAAGCCATTCTTTTGAATTTGACAAATGAGACTTTAATATTCGTATCAATGTTTGCATTGCTCACATTCCTGCAAATTCAAAAGAATATTTAACACGCTGTCGAGGCCTAAGAGCAACTGAAAAGGTGTATTAAGGGATAATATTCATAAAGACGACATGAGAATAGCAAGGCTTCAATTTAATGTCTGGTTTTAGTTAAACCAAGCCCTCCCTAAAACTAAAAACAATGGAGGTGTGTAGAGAAGTGTTAAAAGTAAAGCCTTCGTGATATGCTCCTTTTTTTCGACCAGTAACCAGGGGGGTGCAGTTTGTGCACGTGAAAACAAAAACGCCCCACCCTTTTGATGTATTCCTATTGATTAATTGTTTGTGTGGTTTCAGAAGGAGTAATTGGTGGAGAAGAGAGTGGAGTATATTCCAACTCACATGATGAGAGGGATGTATTGAGGTATGTTTATAGACCTTGAATTTTCATTTTCTACCTGTACGGTACCTTTTATGGCTCCAAAATCAAATTAAAACCCCAAATTGTTTAGCATTAAGCAATATGTGCTGAGCTTGTTCGTGCAGGCAAAAACACAACACCAGTTGGGTAAATAATGGCTATGTCGTGGACATAGCCGCTCTTTAATTATGACAAAAACCATAAAACTTAATATATATAAAAAGTACAAACTACTATAACATCCCTGCACGAAGGTGAGGGCTCAAAACCGCACTTCCGGGACATAAGCAAGAGGTGGTCTGGGGAGGAGGAGGGAAAATTGTACAAAGGAGTGCAACTCACCTTAGAATCACATTCAAAGTGAACAAGCTGGCAACTGAACAAGGCGGGAAAAACAAAAACCTAGAGGGCACCTCAATTGATAGAATTACCTCTACCCTACCACCGGAAGCTGACGTCACCGGAAGTAGACTAACATGATTAAATATTGCTAAATGTAACCTTTTTTCGCCATAAAATTCATTTTGTTGGACAAAACATTATTTATAGCGCTTAATTAGTAAAGTGAGTTTGATTTTGGTAATATTTGCATTTCTTTGATTCTTTTACCAAACCATACTATTATTAGTCGGACTAGCAGAAGGCGGTCCGACTTTAAATTTACCTTTTAGCCTATCTATCTATGTATTATGTCGCGTTTGGACCACCGGAAGTTAAGAATTTAATGATTAACTATTGGGTTGGCTGTGTTATTACATGACCGGAAGCTCAAGCGTATTGATGTACGAATATCGTTAGTAAATGTTATATGCTACTTGGCTTTTATATGACAAAAAAACTATTCGTTTACAAATGTGGTATCTGTGATCTTATCGGAATGCGTCTGTCTAGGCATTAGAAGTACGCGCATGTGCAGATCGCATAGAGTTTCGAGTTGTATGCTTACAAAACTGAATCAATATCCTTTCTAGTGTTAGACAGTCTTGTGGGGGCAAAGATTTCAAATTAGAACAAGAAGAAACTTTGTTTATCAATAARAYAAYMGCHAWTTTAATGATTTTATAGGCATCTTTTTCCTTGTAAAGTTTTTATTTTCTTTGCCTGAGAGGTCAACGTTTATCACTTAGCGAGASATTTGTCTGAGCGTGGTTGATTGTATCACTCAAAGCAAGCCATGTTCTTATRGCATTAATTACATGACCTTTTAGGTCAAGTTTATTTAAAGTCTCAATAAATTTTGCATATTTTGAACTAGARGCTCTTATTAGACCGTGAGTTCGGCTGTTTTGGAAAAAAAAGTTAAGAAATATTTTTATCCATGTAATATCCTGTCTTTCTCAATTTTCACAAGCAGCTAGTCCGACTTCACGCTCCCAGAGCGTCTAGTTGTCTATCGAGATGCAATTGCTTTGTTTCAGATCTTACTAGAGGTTGGGATCCCTGTGTATTAATCTACATCCCCTCCCCACTCCCCACAAATATGATTGTACTATAAATAGTCATTAGCAGCTCACACTTTTATTCAAAAAAGCTTTGAATGATCATTATTTTTTTAGTGAATCTAGTGGAAGTTCACATGGCTCTGTATTAAGGAACCCTGACTTATCTTTGGTTCAGCTTGTAAGTACAAAGCCGTTACTCCGAAAATTGTCATAATCAGCTAGCTCTCAGAGGTTTTCTATTATGCAGTCAGAATTTCAATTCCTTTGTAATTAGGCCATCATTTGCGATGATCATAATAATAAACTAGCTATTGTATTGCAAATTATATCAATTATTATTAAATACAATTGTAAAATACATTACTGTGATACTCCTTCATTTTTTTTWAATGTTATTTTACTAGGTGAATCGCCTTCCCARAGATGTACGGAAACTYTCCTGGGAAATACAGAATAAGTTGGCAAAGCACCTCAACCAGCTCAAAGATCCCGTGTCCAATGACTGGCGTCTTGTAGCATCTCGACTTGGCTTTTCAAGAACAGATGTAGATGTGTTTGCAAAATCTGATGATCCTACCATGCAAATGTTGGGACTTTGTAACACAACAACAACAGAAAAACTCTTTAGAATAATTCAAGATATTGGTCGGTCTGATGTAATTGAGGATCTTTTAGCTTATTTGACGAGTCCTCGTCATTGTTTGCCAACTCAAGAATCATTGGAGGACGATGCCCAATCTTCTCTTTCACAGCCCTTTGAAGAATCAAGCAGGTATACAGGCTTCTGCAAAATTCCCTTCAGACACTTGGGAGGGAGAATTTCACACATCAAGATGCTCCCTTAATTTTAGAATTTTTGCTTGATTTTCAAAATTTGCTCATATAATTCTTGTCACAGTAGTGCACTTGGTATTGCCAGTAAATGTTTATCAATGCAGTGGTAATTTCCAGTAAATTAACTATAAGATTNNGGGAGTAGTTTACAGTTCGATCGCGCGATATATCCAAAACGAACCTTCGTTACTGCAGGCACTTTTAAAAGTCTTTATATTGCTCACAACGAAACCAAGAATGCAACGAAGTTCGCGGCACAAGTTAATGAATTCTTCATTTAAAGCTTTTGCAGTCTTGATCGGCTGCTGATAAGTTGGAATGATGCTCAATGCATTTGCTATTTGCTCCTCGATGATTTCCAATGATCTGATCTTGTTGTGAACTACTTCATCATATGTCAGGGAAATGTTGTTATTTGTAGTACTACCCATTTTAATTCAAAGTGAACAAACCGAAATAGTCACTCAAAAGCAGTTATTAACCTTTGTAACATTAATCAAACTTCCTCTAGATGAAATGACGTAATGCTGAAGGGTATTCCCCCGCCAGAAAAACAAATGTTTCTTACAGCAATTGTGATTGGACAACTAAGAAAACTGACCAATAGAATAACGTGTAATACTTGGCACCTGGCAGTTATGTTACTCGTGCATATTTCTTGGAAGAACATAGAAAAGGAACTGCTTTTCTTTTGCTCACTAGTGAAAAAAAGAAAAAAAACTTGAATTCAATTTCGTTAGTATAACATTCTGTGAAGTTTATTAGTTCATACATTTCAAAAGTTAATCAATAACTTAAGCCGGAGAACAAACTTCCCGCGGCCAAACTGGGCTGACAGACGGCTGGACAAACGCGAAATTCTAGAGCTCTTAATAATAGGATTGTTGGAATGGCACATGCACAGAAAAGCGAAGGTAAGTCATACATACATAATACTGTTTTTAAACGAAAGGCCATTGAACAAATAAGAATGTTAGGAAAGGTGTAATTAAGGGATTTATGCAGTTTTGTAATAAACACGACGTGATTCGAACTACAGACCAAGGGCGAGAAAGTTATATAAGCTTAATGGCTTAATTTCTAGATTAACTAAGCCCTCCCTTGAAACTATTAACAATAGAGGAGTGTAGAGAAGTGTTAAAAGTAAAGCCTTCGTGATATTGCACCTTCTTTTCGACCAGTAACCTGAGGGGGGTGCAGTGAGTGATAAGCACCACCCTTATGACGTATTCCTATTGGTTTGTTTGTGTGGTTTCAGGAGTTGGTGGAGCAGCGAGTGGAGTATATTCCAACTCACATGATGAGAGGGATGTATTGAGGTATGTTGACCTTGGAATTTTCATTTTCTACCTATACGGTACCTTTTATAGTGCTGAATTAGTCAAATGAGTTTGACTTTGGTAAGATTTGCATTTCTTTGATTCTTTACCATGAATCATACTATTATTGTCTATCGAGATGCAATTTGTTTTGTTTCACATCTTACAAGAGGTTGGGATCCCTGTGTATCTACATCCCCTCCCCACTCCCCACAAATATGATTGTACTATAAATTAGTCATTAGGAGCTCACACTTTTATCCGAAAAAGCTTTGAATGATCATGATTTTTTTAGTGAATCTAGTGGAAGTTCACATGGCTCTGTATTGAGGAACCCTGACTTAGCTTTGGTTCAGCTTGTAAGTACAAAGCCGTTACTCCAAAAATTGTCATAATCAGCTAGCTCTCGGAGGTTTTCTATTAAGCCTGGTTTCCATATAATCGTTACAATCGCTAGGATCGCAACAATCGCCGAAAATGTGGCTCAACAATCGTAGCGATCATATGGAAACACTCTCCAGCGATCCTGGCYATCCTAGCAACCTCGATCGCCGATCAGATAGAATCTGAGCGATTCCAGCGATCGAGATTGCTAGGATCGCCAGGATCGCTGGAGAGTGTTTCCATATGATCGCTACGATCGTTGAAATTTTCGGCGATCGTGGCGATCCTAGCGATTGTAACGATTATATGGAAACCAGGCTTAATGCAGTCAGAATTTCAATTCCTTTGCGATGATCATAATAATAAACTAGCTATTGTTGCAAATTATATCAATATTATTAATACAATTGTAAAATACATTACTGTGATACTCCTTCATTTTTTTTTAATGTTATTTTACTAGGTGAATCGCCTTCCCARAGATGTACGGAAACTYTCCTGGGAAATACAGAATAAGTTGGCAAAGCACCTCAACCAGCTCAAAGATCCCGTGTCCAATGACTGGCGRCTTGTAGCATCTCGACTTGGCTTTTCAAGAACAGATGTAGATGTGTTTGCAAAATCTGATGATCCTACCATGCAAATGTTGGGACTTTGTAACACAACAACAACAGAAAAACTCTTTAGAATAATTCAAGATATTGGTCGGTCTGATGTAATTGAGGATCTTTTAGCTTATTTGGCTCACCTAGAGAGTCCTCGTCATTGTTTGCCAACTCAAGAATCATTGGAGGACGATGCCCAATCTTCTCTTTCACAGCCCTTTGAAGAATCAAGCAGGTAGACAGGCCTCTGCAAAATTCCCTTCAGACACTTGGGAGGGAGAATTTCACCCATCAAGATGCTCCCTTAATTTTTGAATTTTCGCTTGATTTTCAAAATTTTCTCATATAATTCTTGTCACAGTAGTGCACTTTTTATTGCCAGTAAATGTTTATCAATGCAGTGGCAATTCCAGTAAATTAACTATAAGATTTGATGTGTTATTTCAGTGATATATCAAAACTTTCAATAAATTCGAGGCAACCTTCAGAACAAGGTAAGTTGCAAAGCTGAGACAACAGGGGCAGCAACAAAAGGTTGATCAACATTGTTGATCAAAGTGTTATCTGCAGTCATATTACATGCTTACATTACCTGTTAACTACARGTGTGCATAAGTTAAACATTTTTTAATAAATTGGATCAATTTTTTAACAGAGGATGATCAAGAACAAATCCCATGCAGTACTTCTGAAAACTTTTGGAAAGGGATTCCAGGATCCCATGATAAAAAGGTGAGGGAATTAGAATAATTTGTTGTAATCCATATCTCTTGAATTACAGAAACCAACTATGTTTTGGGCAAATTTAATGCAGTCAAAATGCAACTTTGTGTAAGCACCATTTACCTGATGGTTACAAAAGGTTGGATTGAGTTTACCATTTCACATAGTTTATAAAACAGAGTTTATAAAATAATGAGAGTTGATATTATCGGCTGAATCTGTATTGTGAGATGTCCATTCAATGTTAAATGAATGTTTGAAGTAATTTGTAGATGGGCAGGTGTTTACTTTGTCTGTATGGCATAATTCTGGTTTAGAAATGGCGAGACTTCTGGACTGCATCACTCAAAGCTTGTAAAACAGAAAGCGAACATGGAGGAATTGACAAGTTTCTTTGTCATATTTTCAAAATTAACTATGGTAAGAATATTGTGAATACCAATTTAACCGTGTATTCAATGATATTTTTATACACAATATCCGATCCATTCTTATGATTATTTTATAGCCATGCATGGTCTATTTTACCATTGAATCATATTTCATTATTCATTTATTATATTAAACATGTTCTTGCGGGGTTTTTTTTCAGATGAAAGAGAAGATGGTCATGTTAGACTAGACTACTTCATTCGACTGTTGAATTTTTTTGGTCCTTATAAACCTGGTGAAGATGGATGTCTGAAAAAGGTGCATTGTTATTCAAAACCAACACCAAAAKACCATCCATTGATACTCTTTWTATCAATGTGTTCATATCAACAATATTGCATATGTCATGGAATAATTCTTCAGCAACACAATTAGTAAATAYCTAAAGAATTACAATTAATGTGGCCAGGTACTGCAAATAAAGATATTAACTAATTTGTCTTTAAGTTAAATTTGCATGCATACTCTGAACGCCAAAAACCGTAGATCCAGTAAAATGTCTCTGCCTGAGGTACCTGGAAACATTTATATATTTGTGTGTTTTGTTTGTGTGTTCATAAGATGTCTTAGATTGATCTTATCATCATCATCATAAACATCATCATCTGATCCAGCAGCACTATCATCTGTCAGAATCATGACAATTAAAGTCATTTGTCCCCTCTATTTTAGATGTATGATTTGATAATCAAATCAGTTTCAAAATCTGAGAATGGAAAAAAACAAAGGTAGGAAGATCAGTTTCTTTGTGTTTCCTCTAAAACTTTAAAAGACCKTAGTTTTTTCACATTTATCAAAATTGTTTCTATGCAATTTTCTTGGCACCCACAATGGCTGAAGCCAGTACAGTMGTTAGAAATTGCTGTRTGTAGATAGCCTTRAATAGTMCGGTTAATGCTACGTCTTCACTAATGCGCGAAAGRGTGTAGSTAAGGGTAGTCAAAGCCAGAATTTCTTACGTGATTCACACTAGGATTGAGATGGGATWACAACACCCTAAATGACCACAAAGTAGTGAGATTGSCACTCTACCAACTGCAAGTTATCAGTGAGTCGTAATTATTATAATATACTATTATYTAATTCTTTTTTAAGTTGGTTTGCTGGCTACATGAACAAGGAAGAAGCTAAGAAAAGACTTGCAGATGAAACTCCTGGTAAATTTCTTGTGCGGTTTAGTGGATCCAAAGTTGAAGAAGGTTGGTTTGTACTGGCCGTAAAAACTCGTGAAGATGTAGAACAGTATGAGATTGAGGTAAGTGGACRAGGTCTAGGGTATTAGMGCCTTAACATATCTGCTATCCTTAKTATCGAATATCATTATTGTACAGTCTGGTGAAAGTCACACCTTTCTAGTAACTGTAATTAAATTGTTACTATTTGTGTGTAGTACACCATCAATCTTTGCACTCTTGAAAAAATATTGAATTATATTMTTTTT